CTAAAACTGCCTCATTGCTTTCCTCCTTCAGTTGAATTTCCCTTTTGGTTGTAGTGGGACAACTTGGTAGAACTTCAGCTTTGCGTTCGGGTGTAAAATCATCTCAGTAACGGAGACGCTGCCCCACCCGATAGTGCGTCAGTTGTTGAAAAGTGTCGGAGAGGAGCATTGATTTTAGCTTTACTCAGCTGCTCTTCATTTAGATTTTATTTTTCTATGTACTAAATTTTAAATCTGCAATCATAAAACCATTTAATTTTCTTTTAGCAGATTCAACAATTGGTAATATCACTGTGTCAAAGACCAAGAAAGGTGCAATGTCAGTCAAGCCTTGAAATCTAAGAACAGTACCAACTGTAAAGCATGGTGGTGGTAGCATCATACTTTTATGCTGCTAGTATATTGGAGGAACAAATTCAAGCATTTTTACTAAAATATAGATTTTTAAACAATCTTTAAGTCTTAATATGCTCAACCAGCTAAACATGAAAAGGCTTCTAATTGTTCCTTAATATTTGATTTTTATGAAAATGGCTACATGTACATTTCTGGTCCTTGACCTGTTTTATTCATTTATAAAATAATAAAAAAAAAGATGAACAACACTAAACGTTCATGTTCAGAAAGTTTGAATTTAAACTTGTTTAACACCAATGTTTAGAAAATAATAAATGTGTTATTTTAAAAATGTACCCCATCTTGTTGCATTTTTGAGGCTGCAGCAAGAAAGAAACAGTTGTATTAATAGAGGTTTTCATTGTAGGCATGAATGTTGCATTAATTCTGGTCTTTAAATGTTTATTTAAACCATTCCCTTTTTTTATGGTGGACTGATAAGTTTCAAAAACAACTGAATGTTTTAATTTTGTGGATTTTCTCTAATGTACAGATGATCTAATGTGCCACTGGCAGTAAAAGTGACTCTCAAATAACAGCACACAACCTAAACCAACCTCAAAGCACAAACTCTTATCAAGTATTTTGGTCTAGTTTCTGCAAACATCTTAGCAAATATACTTTAAGCAAGACAATTTTTCCAAAAGTGAAACAACTTTGGCAGTGGAACCAGTAATATTCAAGAATTATTGACCTAAAATAAGCTCATGTACCTTGCTCAAGAGTTATTTGTAAGTTTAGCTGGAAAAACGACAGAGGTGTTGCTTAACCCGCTCCAGGCAGATGTTGCAGATTTGCAACAGCTAAATGCTACTTAGCTAGTCTTTGTAAGTAATTTGAGCCTGAGAGGGTTAAATCTGTGTGGTTTTGCACAACAGAGACAGAATAACTTAGACACACAGGATGACCGTTGCAGTCTCCACGGACTTGCGTTGTGAGCCACGGATGTGGTTGTAACAGGTTATCAGCAGATCTATGTTTTTTCTTAGAAAGGAGTAAAGTTTCTGAGCAAAGTATGATTGCATTTAAAGATCCAATTACATAGTTTCTCTTGCACAGAAACTCTGCAAAAGACTTTTTTCTTTTAAAGCCGAGACATTACTTACAATATATACAAAGTGGTATGTATTTCATATTGCCAATTTTAATATCAGATCACTCAGGTCTTTTGGTTGAAGTCTTCTCTAATGATAAGCAAATTTGATTGGTTTTATATTAAGTTATATAACATCAATTATGTTTAAGTCTGATAATTTAAACACACAATAGCAAAGTAATATAAAGATCTTTATCTTTGCATTGATTTCCATTCATATTAACCTAACCATTACCAGTACATGCCTTACCCTAAACCAACCTAAATTCATTCACCGCTCGTAATCAGGCCTTTAGCGTTAGCTTCATCAAACTCAAATCACTCCTTAGTGCTAAACTTTACCTCTCACCCAAAAACATCCAAAAATGTGTTGAGAAAATGGTCCTTATAATGTATCAAATACAAGTTCACACACACATTTGTCCACACAGCTCAGTGGAAAGGACATAAGCTTTTAGAGACACATATTATCATGTCAGTGGAAAGCCCTCTGTGCACTGACATATAAAACACATTGGATTGTCATCTTGGCTAAATGAGATATACAAACTAAACTTAACTTGCATATTTTAATCAAACCTCTTCAAAAACCGCAGTTTCGTTTGAAGAGAGATAAACATAACTGATGACGCTGTCCTTCTCATGTCACAGTGTTGTTTCTTCTGGTAAATATCAGTCTTGAATTTGTGCCAAACATAATGACAGGAATTGTGGCCCAAAGCTCACTTTAACATTGCATAAGAATGTTTTGGGAGATTTCAGGTATGTCTGGACTTGTTCTTTGAAAGAAAAGGACTTGGTTTCTCAACCCAAGATGCAACACAGTAGGAATATTGTCACCTTCCTCAAACTAATGGCCTAAGTCAAATTTCACAAAAATTTTGGTACAGAAAAAAAAAAAAATCCCAACTTTTTCTTTCCAACCGATGTTTTAGAGAAAAAAAATCACTTTTGGCTAAATTCAAATAGGCTGTTACTTTATGAAGGTGAGCATATAGGAGGTTGACGTCACATGTGAAACCGTAGCAGAAACCGAGAAAGAAATTTCATGCTCATGCCTAGTTCGTTTATCGCTATTGCAGGTCAGAATTATCTCATTTCGAATGTAACTGGTGTCTCATTGATTAATATATAGAAAGGTTTTAGAAATAATTAGTTATGTCTGCAAATAAACACATTATTGAACTCTTCACCAACCGTGGAATTTTTATGGTGGAATTAGAAATTCTAAACATTGCTCTTTTTCTTTAGATTTAGACCTCAGAAATTTTCCAGTACATCTGAAAATTATTAACCATTCACTTGTCTGAGCCTGTTTGTCTTCCTCTTACGTTAAAATGATAGCCTGGAAGCCAAATTTAACTGTCTGATCACACATGCCTTCTGGGAATCAAAGTTAACACCCACAATAGTTCAGGTACTTAATGTGCTGTCATGTTATTGTTATGTTACTTATGTCAGAATGGTTGAGGGGCTTGTCTGTGACTTAACTGAAGTTAGAGGAGGAAGTGATTTAGTTTGCATTTATTCTTTCTATCTCCATCTTGTGAGAAGAGCCTCAGAAGAGAAGGGCAGATATTGTTTCTGGACGGCAAAATGAATGGAAAAGATTGTAGAAAACTGGATGAGGAATTAGTTGAAAATGGAATCCTGCCTGCTTTGTACATCTTTACATTTGTTGTTGGATTGATCCTGAATGCTTGTGGAATGAGTTACTTGGTGATGAGTTGGAACAAACGTCGGATTATGAACATCTTTGTTCTTAACCTTGGACTGACAAACCTGCTGTTTTTGACCACTCGTTCCTTTATGATTGTGTACTACTTTGATAAGATAACATGGATCTTTGGACAAACTTTATGCAAGGTAACAAGATTCTGCTTTAAACTGAATTTATACGGCAGCATCGGATTCATCACATGTATCAGTGTGTACCGGTACCTGGTCATCGTCCATCCAATTAAAGTGATGGGGAAAATAACTGTGAGTCACTCTGTTATCATCTCTGTCCTGGTGTGGATTCTGGCGAGTGTTGGAAGTCTTCCAGACGTAATCTACCAGGGAACAATCAGGGAACAAGACTGAATCCAAGGAATGTCTTCCTGCCACTGATGTAGACCACATTGAAGAATATTTTATATACAGCCTCATCTGGACAATCTTTGGATTCTGCATCCCTTTCATCATCATTGCTGGCTGCTATGGACATGTGGCTCTTGTCATCCGCCACTCAAATATGATGAGTAGGAACCAAAAACAACAAATCTTAAAACTGTTGGTTAGTTTGATTCTTCTCTTCTTGCTTTGTTACACACCCTACCTTGTTTTGAAGAACTTCAGTGTGTTTGCCAAATATGTGGGGTTTAAAGAACAAAAATGCCCCACATGGTATGATGAAGTCTTTACTGCATGTCATGTAAGTCGTGGTCTCGTGAACCTGAACAGTGCTTTTAACCCTCTGGTTTACATGTGTGTTAATGAGGACGTTAGTGCTCAGTTCAGGCAGCTGCTGCAGGGATGTCGACAGATGTTCAGTTTCTGTTTCAAGCTGAAATCCAGCTCTGAACCAGCACCACACACTGAGGAAGAATATGAAAGTGCTTTGTGACATGGTTTTTTTTGCTCAGCATGTCTTGAGTGAAATTTTTGTTCAGTTCAGTTTGTTTTTAATCGTCTGACTCGTTCTGCTGCCTGCTGGAAAATCAACATGTACATACAAAGTTAAGTAAAACCAGTTTCTCTATCATTGCTGTATTGGAATAATAATTTTAGAAGTATGAAAGGGCTTTTTAACACATTTCATTGAATTCCTTGTTGTTTTGTGATGCTATCCACACATGGTCAAAGTTATAGATTTTTGAATAAATATTTATCTTCGAACATATTTCTTTTCTGTTCCTTCTTTATTGTCACAGTCAAATTGTGATCATCAAACACAAAATAATAAAATGTATCAAAATACAAATATAAAAAGACAAAATGCAATGTTCAAATTGTGTTTTTATCAAAACTGTGTCAAAAAGTGATTCTCTTCCCAACCCAACAACTGGTTTGGTCTTTTTTCTCTGGGTCGCAGCTACTCCTACTATGTGCTGTATTTTTATTTTTGTCTTTTAATCATGGCGCATAATTTATGGATCTTTCCTTTTTTTAATTTTGTTTTGGTATGGCTTAATAATATGGGGTTTAACAAGTTTTATGTATTCCAACACTAAAGACGTTTCTGCTCAAATGTTTTAAAGTACATTATGTGACAATGTTTTATTAAAAAACAGGATGTCATGTGTGCACACAAACACATTACTGAGCTCTTCACCTGTTCTTGGATTTTTATGTTAGTAAGAAATTCTGATCTTGTAAGACACCTGAAAACAACTTATCATTCAATGATTTGTGTCTGTCTTTCTTCCATGATCTGTTCAGACTTGTCTTCTCAGAATCAAAGTTAACGCCCTGTTAGAGTTCAGGTATTTTCCGTCTCATTATGTTGCTTTAGTCAGAACGACTGTTGGGCTTGCCTGTGGTTACCTGAAGTTAAAGGAGGAAGTAATTTAGGTTTTTTTCTTACTTTATAGCCGTATTTTGTGAGAGGAGCCTCAGAAGAGAAGAACAGACGGGACTTGTTTCTGGAAGGCAACATGAATACATACAACTGTAAGACAGTAGATGAGGAATTACTGACTGATAACAATTTCCTCACTATTTTTTACATCTTTACATTTGCTGTTGGATTGATCCTGAATGTTTGTGGAATGATTTGCTTAGTGAAAAACTGGAAGAAACTTCGGATGACTAACATCTTTTTTCTGGACCTCGCAATAACGAACCTGTTGTTTTTGACCACTCGCCCCTTTATGATTGTGTACTACTTAAATAAGATTACATGGACCTTTGGACAAACTTTATGCAAGGTAACAAGATTCTGCTTTAAACTGAATTTATACGGCAGCATCGGATTCATCACATGTATCAGTGTGTACCGGTACCTGGCCATCATCCATCCAATCAAAATGATGAGAAAATTATCTAGGACTCACTCTGTGATCATCTCTGGCCTGGTGTGGATTCTGGCGAGTGTTGGAAGTCTTCCTGATGTAATCTACCCCAAACAATCAGGGAACAACACTGAAACATGTCTTCCTGCCACTGATGAAGACCACATTGAAGGATATTTTATATACAACCTCATCTGGACAATCTTTGGATTCTGCATCCCTTTCATCATCATTGCTGGCTGCTATGGACATGTGGCTCTTGTCATTCGCCGCTCAAATAGGATGAGAAAGAACCATAAACGAAAAATATTAAAACCGTTGGTTATTTTGATTCTTCTCTTCTTGCTTTGTTACACACCTTACATTGTTTTGAAGAACCTCAGTTTGTATGCCAAACATGTGGGGTTTAACTACCCACCATGCCCTGCATGGTATGATGAAGTCTTTACTGCACGTCATGTGAGTCGTGGTCTTGTGAGCCTGAACAGTGCTCTTAACCCTCTGATTTACATGTATTTTACTGAAGAAATTAGTGCTCAGTTCAGGCAGCTGTTGCAGAGATGCCAACAGATGTTCAGTTGCTGTTTCAAGCTGAAATCCGGCTCAGAACCAGTACCACACACTGAGGAAGAAGCTTAAAGTGCTTTATGACATGTTTCCTCTCTATTTTTGTAATTGACAATGTCATGAGTAAAATCTTTGCTCTGTATGCTTTGTATTCATCTAATTTGTTGACTCCTTCCGATAGATGCTAGAGAATTAATAAACACATAAGAAATTAAGCAGTCAGTTGCATTATCACTACAGCAGTGAAATACAAATAGGAGAAGGATAAAAGGCTTTTTAACACATTTCATTGAATTCATTGTAATTTTTTTGTTCCTGTCCACACATTATCAAAATTGTGGGTTTTGAGAAAGTTTTTATCTTCTCGCATATTTCTTCTGTTCCTTCTGTTTTATTACAGTCAAATTGTGAATATCAAACACATAATAATAAAAATACTGAGTAAAACAAAATGCAAGTTTCAAATTATGTTTTCATGGATTGAAATAGAAAGAAACAATATCCTGTGTGTAAAAGGTTATTTTCCTTCCAAACCCAAAAACTGGATTTTCATCATTTCCTGGGTGGCAGCTACTCCTATCTTGGGTGGAGTTTTTGGGTCATTCTTCTCTATACATTTGTTACGATGTGGCTGCATTGGATGGGGTTTACCAAGATTTTAGCTCAGAATTTGACAGTGCTTCTCTAAATTCTTAATTATATTTAATATTTAGAAATCAAAAGTTGTGTTGTTATGACAGTAAAAAAGTCATATTTTGTGAACTTGGATTTTTGTCCTGCTGCATAATTGGAGTGTAATTATATTTAAGGTCACAAACTGATTGCTGAATATTCTCCTTCATGATGTCCTTAAATTACCATTACATACTGGTACTTGTAGTTTCCATAAAGAGTTTGCTTGAACTCAGACACTTTTTTCTTTCCTTACATGTATAGACAAGTTCTTCTTCTTACATGTAGAGACAAGTTTTCCTGCAGATCATGCTTTGGCAGTCTGTTCCACTGTTCAGTGGCTTGCAAAAGTATTCACACAACTTGAACTTTTCCATATTTTCTCACATTACAACAAAGACCAACACAAGGTAGTATACAATTGCGAAAAAGAAAGAAAATTATACATGAGTCAAAACATTTTTACTAATAAAAAACTGAGAAGTGCAGAGTTCAGATGTATTCAGCCCATTTTTCTCTGAGTGGAAATAATTGTCTTCAGAAGTGTCCTGATGGCTGCTAGTCTAAATAAAGTCCACCTGTGTGTCTAAATAAAGTCCACCTGTGTGTCTAAATAAAGTCCACCTGTGTGTCTAAATAAAGTCCACCTGTGTGTCTAAATAAAGTCCACCTGTGTGTAGTCCAATCTCAGTACAAATACAGCTGCTCTGTGACGGCTTCAGAGGTTAGTGAAGAGAATATTGGGGCGCAAACAGCAAGATGAAGTCCAAGGAACACACCAGACAGGTCAGAGAGAAAGTTATGGAGAAGTTTGCAACAAGCTTCGGTTATAAAAAGATTTTTCATGCTCTGATGGACAGAGTTCGGCACAACTGTAAACCTACCAAGACTGGACTGACGAGGTTCTGCTGAAAGAGGTTTTAATGTGCATTGTGTGACACTGATTCAATAAGAAATAGGGTGTCAGGAGTGCACACATACACATTATTATCTAGTTTCTTAACTTTAGATGAACATTATTAGCTTTTTCTTCCTTTGCTCTTTCTTTTGGTTATTTTGTTTGTATTTTCTTTTAAATCCTGGAAAGAATTTTGTATTCCCTTGTTGCTGCATCCTCACTTACGCTTGAATTGAATTTTTAATGCAGGGGAAGTTGGACTCCATAATTCAGATTTCTTTTCAGGACATGTGAAAATGACTTATCATTCATTAATTTTTTTCTTTCTCTTATGCGTCAGCTATTATGTGGAAGCAGCATGACATAAGCTAAAATGTTGAGCTGGAAGTCAACTTTAGTTGTGAAACCAGACGTATCTTCTGGTAATCAAAGGGAACGCCCACGTAGGACATTTGATGTATTAATATGCTTGTTGTGGCCTTCTCGGCTCAAAAACCAGAAGTTTCCAACGAAGGCCGTGGGTGGTAACAAGTGGTTTGGCTCTCGAACGCACTTCCGTCTTGATTATGAGAAAAAAATACATATATGTTTTATTTCTTGCAAAAACCTAAACAAAACGATTCATGAAAAGCTCTTTCTACTTAGTTTAAAACAAAAGTTACATGGATCTTTGGACAAACTTTATGCAAGGTAACAAGATTCTGCTTTAAACTGAATTTATACGGCAGCATCGGATTCATCACATGTATCAGTGTCATCTCTGTCCTGGTGTGGATTCTGGCGAGTGTTGGAAGTCTTCCAGACGTAATCTACCCCAAACAATCAGGGAACAAGACTGAATCCAAGGAATGTCTTCCTGCCACTGATGAAGCGCACATTGACCAATACTTTATGTACAACCTCATCTGGACAATCTTTGGATTCTGCATCCCTTTCATCATCATTGCTGGCTGCTATGGACATGTGGCTCTTGTCATCTGCCGCTCAAATATGATGAAGAAGGAGATGAAACAACAGCTCTTAAAACTGTTGGTTGTTTAGATTCTTCTCTTTTCGCTTTGTTACACACCCTACCATGTTTTGAAGAGCCTCAGCGTGTATGCCAAAGTTCTTTGTTGTAGGGGTGTGTGCCCCAGTTGGTATGATAATGTCTCTAAAGCACATTATGTAAGTCGTGGTCTTGTGAGCCTGAACAGTGCTCTGAACCCGACGTGGGTGCTCAGTTCAGGGAGCAACTGCAGGAATACCGAGAAATATTCAGTCACTGTTTCAAGCTGAAGTCTGGGTCTGAGCCAGTACCACAGGCTGAGAAAGAAGCTGAACCTGCTTTATGACGTTTTTTTTTCTTTCTTTTTTCTTAGACTGACCATGTCATGAGTGACATTTTTGATAAGTTCTGCTTTAAAGTGAATTTTTATGGCTGCATCAGATTCATCACATGTATTAGTGTATCATCATCGCCGATCCAATGAAAGTGATGGGAAAAATAACTACCACTCACTCTGTGGTCGTCTCTGTCCTGGCATGGCGACGATTGGAAGTGTTCCAGACATAATCAACCCCAAAATTATAACACTGCTGACAACATTACACCATGAATAGGAATATTAAGGAACCTCATCTGCACAATTTTCGGATTCTGCATCCCCTTTGTCATCATTGTGGGCTGCTATGGACATGGACTCTTATTATTTGCTGTAGAAATATGATGAAAAAGGACATGAAAGAACAAATCTCAAAACTCCTGGTTATTTTGATTTTTCTCTTCTTGCTTTGTTACACACCCTACCATGCTTTCAAGGACCTCAGCGTGTTTGCCAAATATCTGGGTTTTAAGAAACAAAAATGCCCCACATGGTATGATGAAGTCTTTACTGCATGTCATGTAAGTCGTGGTCTCGTGAACCTGAACAGTGCTTTTAACCCTCTGGTTTACATGTGTGTTAATGAGGACGTTAGTGCTCAGTTCAGGCAGCTGCTGCAGGGATGTCAACAGATGTTCAGTTTCTGTTTCAAGCTGAAATCCAGCTCTGAACCAGCACCACACACTGAGGAAGAAGATGAAAGTGCTTCTTGACATGTTTTTGTGTTTTAGCTGACCATGTCTTGAGTGCAGGGCTTGTTGGGGCAGACGGTGTTCTTTGAGTTTTGATTTGCCTCCTGAAAAACTTAAATTCTTCAAAAATTATCTTTTTCTTGGATTCCTCTTTGCTCTCTGATCCCTTATATTGTTACTTATCAATTTTGCTCTCCCAACAGTTTTAAGTCTGTTTCTGCTGTGCAAAACAAAGAAATAGTGGAAATTTCAAGAAAGTGATCATTTTGGAGGTGAAGGGGTTAAATTGTTTTTAAGAATCTTGTGAGTGATCATCTCAAAGTATTGCCAGATGTCAGATTTTTTTCTTCCTGCTGGGTTTATTTCAATTGTTTCAGCAACAATCTAGTTTCAAATTCCTTCAGGTAATAAAAAACACAAATGTAAAGTCACAAAATACATCATAATCAACAAATCAGAAAACCCGTAATAAGCGTTACATTTTTATGAGCTCCAAATACACATAAACTATAAAATGTTCCTTGTATTTCACTGCTGAAGACAAATCCTCCTCTGATGCGATCAAATACAATCACCCAGGAAGCAGCACGGCTCATCATGCTTTTATTTTGAAAGCATGAACTGAACCAATCACGTGACCCATGCAACGTGAGGCATCGTTTGTTGTAAGTCACGTGTTTTTCAGCAAGCGTCAAACCGGGGCTTCATCAACACGCCTCCTTTTTACTCGGTGCTGCCTGGATTCAAACGGGCCATCACTACTCCACACTTTCAACAGAATCTCTTCAAACATTGGCTTCAGTTTCACTGAACACTTTCACTTATTTCTTCTAAGTTATTGCAGAGGCTTTCCAGCTTATTGCTTTGCACAAAGGTTCATCACTTCAGTGGTTCCCAAAGATTTTCTGGGCAGAACAAAATTTGCAGAACAAATTTTGATGGAATCACACCTGCTATGTAGAGTGAAACAAAAATTATTTGGAAACTGATTTTTTTTTTAATGGCACAGCTTGCTCTGTGAACATTGCCATATTTCCAAAAAGTCAGAAAATACACATTAAGATGTATAAATGTACAATTTAATAGTCTGATTTGACTATAGATACAAGATTACATATTCAGCTGTTACTCAAAAAAAAAATCTTTAAGGTAGCTAACAGTTAGTTTGTAATGTGGTAACAAAGATCAAGTTGAGAAAATGTCCTTTTTAAAAGAAACTATGAATGTTATAACTTTATGGACCAAAAATTTGTATTTTTATATGAGAAAGTGTTATTATTTTTTTTGTCCCTTTAACTAGAGATTTTGCATGGAAATGCAGCCTTTTGCTACTGGTGCGTTTTTCTCCATTCAGATTGCAGAAAAATCTGCAGCTCTATTGGTTTTATTGCTGCAGCATGCACCCACAAGGCTGTCACTATTAAATGTTACGAACCAAAACAAAAGAATGCATTATTGTGATATACATGATTTACTCAACAGTTGCTTTGCATTCTTCTCCATTCATGTTTAATCATTTGTATTTTCTTTTTTATTATTTCTTTCACTTTCAAAACAATAAAGTCTGATTAACAACTGTAATAACAAGCATACACCAGACAGATCAGGACAGAATATTGCAGTTACATGCACAACCAAATCTGACTTTCGCTAGGCGGGGCTTCAAAAAGAAAGTTATTTAAGGTGCGTTTCCTTTCAGTTTGCTTTCTGGTGTTAGCGGAGCATCAGAGGAGAAGGGCTGAGATCTCTTGTTTCTGGAAGACAAAATGAATGCAACCTGGTGTTCTCAACCAGATAAGAAATTATTCGAACACACAGTTCTGCCTACTCTTCACATCTTGGTGTTTATTGTTGGACTGATTGCTAATGGATGGGGATTGAACTCTTTGCGGCGCAACTGGAAGAAACTGGGAAATGTCAACATCTTTGTCCTAAACCTTGGACTAGCAGACATTCTGTATCTGCTCACTCTCCCCTTCCTGATTGTGTACCACATGAAAGGAAACAAATGGATCTTTGGAGAAGGATTCTGCTTGGTAACAAGATTTTGCTTCAACCTGAATCTGTACTGCAGCATCGGGTTCCTCACCTGTATAAGTGTGTACAGGTACCTGTCCATCGTCCATCCCATGAGAGCGAAGGGGAGATTGACCGCGACTCACTCTGTGGTCATCTCAGTCGTTGTTTGGATTTTGGTGGGTGCTCAAAGTTTTCCAGACATGTTCTACGATAAAACATTTAGAAACGGATCAAAGTGCTTTGCCACCACGTCTTATGAACATCTGGAGAGCTACCTGGATTACACCATCACATGGACCTTCTTTGGATTCTGCATCCCTTTCGTCATCATTGTTGGCTGCTATGGACATGTGACTGTTGTTGTCTGCCGCTCAAATACGATCGACAAGAATATGAAACAACAACTCTTAAAGCTTTTAGTCATATTGATCGTTCTCTTTTCTCTTTGTTATACACCCTACCATGTCTTCAAGAACCTCAGCATGTATTCCAGAGTCCTGATTAATCAGGGAACATGCCCCGAATGGGATTCTGGAATCTTCAATGCTCGTCAGGCAAGTCGTGGTCTTGTGAGCCTGAACAGTGCTCTCAACCCGCTGGTTTACTTGCATGTAAATGAGGATATGGGTTATCATTTCAGGCATGTGTTCAGATGCTGTTTTAAGCTGAAATCTAGATCTGTATCAGAACCTAAGACTGAGCAAGAAGCTGAAAATATGATATGCTAAAAGGTCTTATGTTTTTAACCATATGATAAGTGAAAGTGTTTCACACTTCTGTACGCTCTCTATTCCTCCAACTTCTTCACTCTCGTTGCCAGATTCTAGGACATTCATGATCAAATTAAGTCGAACCAGTTTCAGTTTTATTGATGGTATAAAATTTGTCGTCTCTTTTCTCATTCATTGTGCTGAATTAATTTTTTTCTTGTCCACACAGTATCAAAGTTATAAATAGTTCTTTGAAAAAGTTTTTGTTCCTTTTCATATTTTTTCTTCTACCGTCTTTTCGCCAGATGCAAATGTTTAACATCAAACACATTGTGATAGAAGACAAATGTATCTAGAGGAAGTACAAAATGTTGTTTTTAAGTTATGCTTTTATTGACTGAAAAAGGAAAAACACAGAAAACGTAATTCCTAATAACACCCAATACATGTTTCGGTTTTCATTTCTTGTGCAGCAACTCCTCCCATCCAGGTTGTTAGTTGAAAACCAGTTTAGTGAGACAAAACCTTAAAATGTCTTAGCCAAGTTTATTAATACCATGCACATATGAAACCTTATGAAATCATAAACAGGTCAGAGTACAGGTCTGATTACGTTTAGACACACAGCACATCAATTTTTCCTGAAAAGTTGTAGGGAAAAATCATAAACACAGAAGCGAATTTGAGACTGTCTGTATCTTTGCCCTTCTGAAAGGGATTTCTCCACAGACAAGTTACACCAGGAAACTGGTCTCTTTAACTCAATACTGAAACGGACACAAAAGATGAGCCAACATCTTGTGCAGCCATGTGAACAAGTTATACAACTCCTTTTTCTTCATTCCTTAACATCAATCCAGCGTCTAGAGAGGATCATGGTGCCGACAGCTTGGCTTTGTCATTGGCTCAGAACAAAGCCAGTGAGAAACAGACACAGATTCACTTTCGGATTGGACGAGACTTCATGCTTCGTTGCGACTTTGAAACAAACTTAATCATGAAGACCAACAGAAGACTTGCATTTCATATTTACGCAGATAAAAAAAAAACATATATTAAGATAATAGTTGTTTTTATTTTGGTAATCAGGAAATGCGTTCTGTTTTTTCAAGTATAAACTCATAATAAAGGATTTATGGAAGCAGCGGCGGAGCCAGAGGGGTGGCCGGGGTGGCACTTGCCACCCCCAACAGAGCCCTTGCCACCCCTAGTGCCACCCCACTGGAAATGGTCATTTTAAAATATAATACTTATGAGATCGGCAAAGATTTGCCAGGAAAACTGTAATTTCCGACTGTCCCTGAAGGCAGCCCGATGCCCGACGCTGTTCATTGGTTAAACTGACATGTGGTTCCTGCTTGATCCAAAACACATCAACGGCTTTAGAGTTACACCGTCGAGGAGTTTTGCAGGTATTTACAACATTTACCGCTCAGCAGTAACCACTGTTTCCTTCCTAATGAGAGGCGGCACTTGTTATACATTTCCTAAAAGAAAAAAAAAAAGGTGCACCGCTGCATAGTGCCTCGTTTATTATATTAGCCATGCTAGTGCTGGTAGATCGTGTTTTAGACAGATTCTTTTAACATGTTTTAGTGACATGCTGCCCTGTAATGTTTTATATCTCCCAGTTCTTGCTTGAAATGTGTTTGGTAAGAATATGTGAAAAATCATTAAGTTTTATAATGACTGAAATGTAAGTAGGCTATGTCATATGAAAGCTTTGAATTATAACCTCACTAGTTATATTAATTATTTTTGAACGAAAGGAAACAAATATTTTCTTTTCTTTCGTTCCATGGAACGGTCCATTTATATATGGACCCTCTGATAAAGTCTTGCTCACCCTTTGGCCACCCCTTGAAAAAAAGTCTAGCTCCGCCACTGTATGGAAGATATTTTTTTGGACTAAATCTAGTAATACACAAATCTAACAATTCAAAATGGCAGTTGGTCAATCTCAGGTGATGTCATTTTATTTTCTAATAAGGTTTAAAATGAAAGGTGGTCGCATTATTTTCAGCTATGTTGCCTAAAAAGCATATTTAAAATGTAACTAATTTCATTGTAAAAAAATATGATTTGATGTAATACTTTAAAGGATAATTAGTCATTATTTTTGACCAAAGAATTCCTTTGCATGGGCAGAAATTGTGTTTATGGTTACTATTGACCTTATTCTTTGAAAAAGTTTTCAGCTTATTCCTTTAAATTAGGAGGTTTCTATTCAAAATTTGTGACAATATTGCTAATGGTTTAGCTTATCAATATAGGTGAAAATACCTTTATATCAAACCTAAGAGCTATGTAGATTTTTAATTCTCTGGTCTTTTTCTGATGGCTTCAATTAATAACTGCTTAAAAATCAACAAATGTACACGTAAACGCCAGATGAATGTAATGATTTTTACTGCCACCAGATGGCACTAAAGACTCAATCCAACTTGAAGAAAGGTCAAAACGAACCTCATGAATGGACGCGAGGTTTCAACTGGTTTTAGTTCGGTTTAAACACAAAGCATTGCTCAGTATTACATGGCAACACCCTGATAAGGCCCCAAGCTGCAATTCTCATAAAAAGTGACAGAAACAGACAAGTTTTTAACCTTTACACTGAACATTTTTAGAACTGAAAGTATTAAACCAGGGGAGAATTGGAACTCTTCAAAAACAAAAAGGAAGACTGTGTTGTTGTTTGTTTTTTTGAGAGCTTATCTTTGCCCTAATTATATAATGTTATTGTATCGTTTTTGTTTTAGAATAACTTCATTTCTAACTATAAACTGGATTGTTTCCAACTGGCTTATTGATTCATTTTCAGACCTTATTTATGATATAAAACGGGACAAACAGGGGGTGTAATTATGTAAAATACTCAGAACATTTGGGAAGTTAATTGAACTCAGTGAAACTCAGGAAAAATCAAAGAACAAAAAAATATTCAAAATTAAAAAGTAAGTGACATGATAAAAATCAATCTTTTTAAAATTACTTAAAAAGATCTCCTGCAGAAAGAGAACAATCTCTTGACTCTGCCCAGGAGGCCTGCACAGCATGTTGCTGTTTCACTGCCTTGTTGAACAGCAACACGCAGTGCAAAGTGCTTTTGTTAGCCCCTGTAAAAAGGAATAATAAAAACAGACACGGACACAATGTTACTCCTTTCGCTTCCAGTGTTGTAATGTGTTTCCAAGAACAGTTTTAAACATTACATAGTCACATACTGAGTGCTGAACATTGTACACAAACATTGTGGTTATCTCCATATAGTAATAAGACACGTAGCACCGGACGCAGCTTGCCTGACAGCTAATGTGAGTATAATTATTAACTCCTGTTATGTTCGTTTCTGGGGTAGAGCAATAATGTTCCTGGGTGAATTTGATCCAGGGAGTTTTTAATCATGCAATAGTGTTAGAAATCAAAGAATTCCTCCAAAACATTTTTATATTTGATTATTAACTTCAATACTAACAATTTCAACGAATATTTGTGTAATGATGTTTTTTTTATTATTTCTCAGAAATTAAGGAACAATGACAACAACCCACTCATTTACTCATTTGGACATGAAAAATGGAATTAAAATTTTTTATGTCCACTGAAAAAAATACCTAGACACACAAAAAAACAATAATTTCCTTGAAATTGATTTTTGGTCAATTTTTTAAATATTACATTTTATTTAATTTTTTTCAATGCGTGATCTTTACAATTGAACTTGAGACACACGTACTATTCAGGGTCAAATTGACCCGCTGATTAAAATCAAGATAAGTGAGTCTTGCAGAGAGTGTTTCCCTCCATTCTGCTGAGAGTCCACTCAGTGTGGGTGGAGTTTATCCACAGGAACAGAAATAGAAAAGATTCCTGTCAAAAGTTGTATGAACACCTGCTTTCTTGCGGTTTTCTAGTGAAGTAAAGAGAAAAGTGAGAAATGGGCTCGTGTGTGTCCGGGTGTGCATGTGTGTGTGTGGTGTGTTGTGTATGTGTGTGTGGTGAAATATGGTTCATAGCTGCAAGAAAACATACAGAACTGGACATTTTTTTCATTTTTTTTTTTTTGAAGCCTGGTTAAATTGACCCGAACTGTGTAAAAAGTAAAAGCAGGGGCTGGTGGAAATGTGTCAAATGAATGCATTTTCAATTTCTATGTAGAGTGCACCTATTAAGACAAATAGAAAACGTTTCATGCAAAAAACAAAACAAACAAACAAAAAAAGCTTCTAACTATTTTAAAAAGATTTTTAAACTTTGAAAAGGGTCAATTTGACCCAGAACATAACAGGAGGGTCAATAAAACTCAAGTTATCGCAGACAACACAAACACTCCCTGCTCATTCGGCCAACATAATCAACACAAATACAGCTATAAACCTTATAAGTCATAATTTTACCTGTAATGAAAACAGACGCGACGTCACTCCTGTCGCTTCGATTGTTTTTATGGAAGAACAGAAGTAACGCGTTCCAGTGATTCAGACAAAACCAATCGAGACACGATCGGTAGACAAACAAAAATTTTAGATCTAATATTAACACAATTAAATGAACATTTATTTTTTTATAAACTAAATCTATTAATACACATATGAATTTATGTATATCAATCTCAGGTGATTTTATTTTATTTTCTATAAAGATTTAAAGTGAAAGGTGGTTGCATTATTTTCAGCTATATTGTCAAAAAGTATATTGAAAATGTAACTAATTTCATTGTTTCAAATAGTCTCTATATTTGATGCAATACTTTAAAGGATAATTAGTCATTATTCTTGATCAAAAAATCCCTTTGCAGGAGTAGAAATTGTGTTTATGGTTACTATTGATCTTCATCAGCTTATTCCTTTTTATTAGGACATTTCTATTCAAATTTTGTGACAATATTGCTCATGTTTTAGCTTATCAGAATGGGTGAAAATGCCTTCACAGCAAATGTAGAGCTATGTAGACTTTATATTTTCTGATCTTTTTCTGCTGGCTCCCTGCTTGGTGTTTCCATGACATCTTACCAGCTGTCAATAAGTTAATCACAGTATTGTTTTCTGATTGAAGATGCCTTTGTTAGGAAAATTATCTAAGTTCATGTATTTGAAAGTTTATGTTTTTATATTAGTATTCTGTATGCTGTTTTCTTGACTCCTTTCTTTTGTGGTATACTCTTAACTGTTTTTCCAGATGTTTTCTTGGGGGTCAGAAATGTTTGCACATTCTTGCGTTATGAGCTTCTTTTGTCATTGGTTGCTTTGATCATTAACTGTCTGTGTTATCAACTGCCTGTGAAGCGGGTTTATAATGTCTAGGTAAGTGCATGTCCACAGAAGATTCCAGAACATCTTGTGGGGATGTTTATTGATCAACTGTTTGTGTGACTGTGTGAAAAAGCCCAACCTCTTTGTTTGTAATGTCAATGTAAAAACCGCATTGCATTCACAACAGAATCTGAATTTCTTGGGCAAACACAGGTGAATGCATATGAACATACATATACATCTGAGGACAGTCCATTTAATTAACAAGTGCTTAAAAATCAACAAATGTACATGTAAACGCCAGATGAATGCAATGATTTTTACTGCCACCAGATGGCAGTAAAGACTCAATCCAACTTGAAGAAAGGTCAAAACGAACCTCATGAATGGACGCGAGGTTTCAACTGGTTTTAGTTCGGTTTAAACACAAAGCATTGCTCAGTATTACATGGCAACGACCTTTTGAGAGCTTATCTTTGTCCTAATTATATAATGTTATTGTATCGTTTTTGTTTTAGAATAACTTCATTTCTAACTATAAACTGGATTGTTTTCAACTTGCTTATTGCTTCATTTTCAGACCTTATTTAAGATATAAAACGGGACAAACAGGGGGTGTAATTATGTAAAATACTCAGAACAATTGGGAAGTTAATTGAACTCAGTGAAACTCAGGAAAAATCAAAGAACAAAAAAATATTCAAAGTAATTGAAACTGATGGTGGACATTCATAGTGAGGCCATCTTGTCACTATTATGGAATTAGTCAATAATTCCTTAGTTGATACTAATATTTTTTCTTGTAAAGTTTTTATGTTTTGTTTTCTCTTTTCTTATGTTGATAGATGCAAAAGAAAATGTAAGTGATAAATTTAAAATGACGCCAGATCCATTTCAATGTTTCACTAAAATAGTGAAACAACAGAATAATAAAACCTTGTACAACTTATGAACTTCAATTTATTCAATTAGTCCTCTTCTGACTTATGCATATATTAGTATGTTAGAATCTGAATTAGAGGAAATATACTATATTTTATAATGAGATAAGAAAAGTAATTAAGATACTTGAAATATTTATATCTGATTATTTTAGTTAGAGTCATATGCCTTCAAAATTGTTTTGTCTGCAGTATGAACAATAGTCTTGCTTATCAGGTATATACCGTGCTGTTTATTGAGTTTAAACCTTTTTTCCACCATATTATTGTTTGGAGAACAAACAATAATATGTGGTTCATGATAGTATTCTCAAGTAATTGTAAATGGTAATACCCTATAAATTTTTGCTCTTGCTTACCTACAACAACAAAATGTATTATCACTCCCTCTATTCAACCTTAGACTTCCTGTTTCTTATCAAACATCTAATGCAGGTTCTACAGGAAACCCAGATCAACAAAATGATAAGCAACACAATTGCTAAACAGAATGCCATCACATCTAGGCAGTGGAAGGCATACCAGGGCATCTTATAAGACTCGGAGCGCAAGTGTGGCGCACCCCGGTGCCTCATGACATGTTCGATCCAGAATATAGCACTGTCAATGGGTTTCATTGGTTTGTCATGATGAAGCTGTGATAGTTTGACCATATTCTGCTTGTAGGGTTTTTCTGGGTCTAAAATGGACTTCAGAGCACTTTTCAGAGAGTTAGCAGTCATTTTTGTCACGTCGACTATCTCAGCCACACCTCGTGCCTTCAGTCGGATGATGTTGTCGTACTGGTCCAAGATAAGTGGAATGCCTAGAACTGGTACGCCGTGGTAGATGGCCTCGTAGATGCCATTGGTGCCCCCATGTGTGATGAAAACCTTAGTTTTAGGATGGCCAAGGATGTCGTTCTGAGGCAACCATTCAACCAGCATAGTGTTGTTCCCTAAAGCAGCTGGTTGTTTACCAATATGTCTCCACAAAACTTTCTGGGGGAGGCCGGCAAACGCTGACGCGAAGGTTTCTGACACCTCAGGACCAAGGTCGCTCAGCAGAGTGCCGAGAGTCATCACAATTACTCCATGTTCACCAGAGCTCTGCACAAATGCCTCTAATTCAGTTGACAAAGGCTTGGATGGTTTTCCTTGGAAGCCTCCAATGTAGATGACGTTGGGCATGGTGGGGCGAGGGAAGTCAAAGGTAAAATCAACCCGCATTAGCCAGAGATCTGCACCCTGTGTCAGAGACAAGGTATCCACATTATCTTCAAAGTATTTATCACATATATCTTGGTATTTTGGACCAGAAACATAGTATTGCTTGTAGATCATCATGATGTGGAAGATAATATTATGGAGTCTTTGTAAAAAGTGCATTTTGTCAGATAAATGGGAGAACACAGCAGGAATGTAGGACAGAGGAGAAGGAGCGATAGCAAAGTGACCCTCTCCACCGGGAAGCCAGCGTACGTTCAACACCAAAGGAAGCTTGAGATAGTGCGCCAGCAGCACTCCTCCTGGGAACGCCGGGTCCGTCAGGAAAAGATCATATCCAGTTTCATTTAGCTGCTTTATCAGAGTCTCATTCTCAAAGATACTGATGACCATTTTTACTGCACCGTTCTTTCCTACACCTCCAAAAAGATTAAACAGATTCCTGTAAAACTGAAAAAAAGCCCACAATGTTCCTTCATTTCGACGGATTTCCATAGACCTCTCCAGGAAGGACGTCATGACTTTTTGACTCTCGATGTTTTCGGGCTGCTCCTGGGCAATCGTGATGGACGTGTAAAGGGGTGAAAATTCAGAAATGTACCAGCTGGTTGAGGAGCGGAACACCGTTATTTCATGCCCCCTAGAATGTAACGCCTCCAAAAGTATTTTCATGTTCAGCCAGTGACTTCCATCCACTGGGAAAACCAACACTTTTCCACCATCACCAGGAGACAGCAGCGATGCAGACAACAGTAGGATCACCAGAACTGGACTCATTTCTGTAAAACAGACTCATAATGTCAGATTCAGATTAACTTAATTTTGGTAAATTTGCAACATTACAACATTTTATTTACCAAAAAATAAAATAAAATACATTTTTTCTAACCAAAAAATTACCAGTAAAGGAATAGGCTACAGCAGGGGTGCTCCAACTTTTTGAGACCAAGATCTACTTTTTCTCTCATCAGCCAGCTGAGATCTACCTCATGACACCAAGACATAAAAATGGTAAATTAAACCCTATTGACATATTTTTTATGTGAACATACATCAGTTATATCAGAACTGATGAAGTGATAAAAAACCTCAGAGAGATTCTGTCACTGGGAGCAGGTTACTGGTTTCTCAGTCAGAAGCTGGTTGCAAACCTGAGGCCAGCAGGTGTCAGTCAGTTATTGTAGATCTGAAATTTGGTTTGATGAGAAACTACAGACTGATAGGAGGAACCAAAGAGCACTGCAAAGGTAAAGGCAAATCTTCTGAATTTGGGATATAATTAATTTAATTTCACATAATTTTTGCGGTAGAAGCCATTTGTTTGTTAAAACCTAATCAAATATATTCGTCCTATTTGATGTTTTTTGTGACGTTTACTGCATACGAACGAGGTGATTGTAATAGAGTGGTTTGTTGCCCCCTAATGGTAAGAAATACCGACATTCCGGTTCCAGGTACAGTTCTCAGTAGGCCAACTTGGCTGTTTTGTTTTCCTGCTGTTCCACCATTAAAAAGCATCGGATCCACATTTCCTCTGTTTAATCTTTGCAACTCAAGAATATCACAGTAATTAGTCCAGGTTTGTCGTTTATTGAACGTTCAGAAACTACAGTGAATGTAAACAAAAGTGAAGCAACCCGAACAGGTGATCAACTCAAAACCACGAGCAACTTTTTACTCTCCGACTCTCTTTATCGTTTAAGCACACCCGTTGCCGTGGCAACCGCCTTTGCCCTGCACGCCGAGCAGAGATGACATTAAAAAACATAACATTCAGTCCGTTATAATACCAGGTTTCCAGGCTTGATATTTTGTTCTCGATTATTGATACGCCTCTCAGGAAGTATGCTTGTCAGTCGGTCTATCAGTCGCCTCTTTTTTTTTGTTTTGTTTTTTTTGTTCAGGGAATCATCCATTGCCACTACTGGAGTCATTAACTCAAACAAATCTCTACAGATAATAACAAAATAATAATAATAATAAAAAATTCACAAAATTTACCTTTCACAAACTTCTATGCAATTTTTGTTTATTCTCCAAGTTATTTAGTTTTATACTTGATCTTTTGTATTTAAAAATATGTTAAAGTTTATTCACCCAAGAAGCCAAAAAGTAAGAAAACAATCAATCCTACTTTTTCTAGAAAAGATCTTGACAATATTGAGGACAAATTGAGAAGACAAAAGTGAAATCGGTTGTGAAGGTGTAAGCCCAATTATAACACCATTTCAGAAAAAAGCAAATCTAAGTTATTTGGTTTGATGGACTCGACCTGCTTTGCTACTTTAAGGAAAGACCATTTTGTTTGTGTTTAATATTTTCAGTGACAAGGCAACTCAAAGTGAATTACATGTTTATATTATTATTGTAGTATATTTTCCAGCAGTCCAGAAAACTCCTCCAATTAAATCAATGTCTCTCTCTACTGAATATGAATGATTATAATCACCAGTTACTGCTTGTTGTGTACTTTGAAGCTTTTCTTGTTTTGATCAGCTCTCTGTTAAAACTATTCTCTGCTTTTTATCTGAGCCTCATCCTCTAAGCAGCAACCTGATAAGATGGTCTTGTCTATGTTTCATTGTGTCGGTAAGTGTGCACATTTGCCACAAGATCATGTGCAAGCAATATGTGAAGCAAAAATGTTTTCAAAGCAGATAAGCCAAACAGAAATGAGAAACAAAAAAGATTCACTAACCCAAATACAAATGCAGATAAAAACAAATCATGCATCCTCAAGTTGGAAAGTTTGATAAAGCAGAACATACATAACCACATGCGTGATTGGTTTTACAAAGTGAAACAAAGTGACATCAAAGGTGCAGGCAGCAACCTCCACTCCTTCAAAACTGAAATGAGTACAAGTGTAAGGGGAAAGTACAGCATACCTATTAAAAAAAATCAGTGTCTTATGAAATGTTGCAACATTTATCTTTGAAATGATGAAATGCAATATTATCTGCAGTAAAATTAAATCTGATAGGTTAATAAAACTGATTCTTACCTTCAGCCTTTGTAGTTTGTTCCTTTCAAGTCTAATCCAAACTACAGGCAATATGTAAAAATGTCAAAAATGTCTGTCCTCGTCAAGCAACTGTCGTGGTCAGTTGTTGGGTGAAATGCAAGTGAATATATAACTTTGTGTTCCTAAATAAACCTGCCCAGTAGGCTGGCACTGCATGTAAGCACATTTTAACTAGCCCCCACTAAACCTTCTGTAAACTGCAAATGTCAAACTGTTCTTGTTTGCTTTGCCATTTTTGTACGGTCATGCTGAAATGCATCAATAAATTTGACATTCACAGGGTCAAAAGATATTATTTTGTCTAAGAATAAAGCTTAATGTACAAACCTGTTCAATAAATCAGAATATTATTGAAAAGTCAATTTAATTCAGGAACTTTATCACCAAGTCAAAACACATTATGCAGATTAGTTACACACATGGATGTTTGGCAGCCTTTATTCTTATACATTTTGAGGATGTTTCCACTTACAATTAATGAAATCTTATTCACAATTTGAATATTAAATCAGACCATAAGAAATTGTCTTCATACAGAAATTTATATTGAACAGTTTACTGCCTTCAATTTTCAAAAGCTATTTTTAATATAAAAATGAGCCTCATTCTAATTAATTGAACATGACTGTGGAACTGACATTACAGTCAAGACTGGTTGACATATTGTAAAACATTAATTGTTGGTACATTATAGTTAAAGTAAACCAAACAGGTCAAGTTGATGAATAAATTTCCTAATATTTCTAAAATAGCATAGCAGGATATTATTATGTTATATTAGGATATAAGTTTTATTTTAGTCAAATCAGTATTATACATTTTACATCCCTTTAAGTTGCACAGTGTTTTCAGAATCCAATGTAGGAAATAAAAAGATGAATGTTTCTTCACTGACCTGAAGTGACACTGACTGTCTCCAGTGTTAACAAATCAGTTGAAACTATACTTTGAATAATCAAGTTCAAATCTATTTGGACTTGAAGTTATTGTGAATTCACATCATCACGATAACTTTAATATCAGCAACAAGGAAGTGCAAAATGCTTTACATTATAAAACATCAAAAACATCACACAGTTATCAATTTATAAAACAAGTAAACATTACTGTTCAAAAGCAAGACATAAATAAAAACCCAGCTTAATTTCTATATGTGTTATGTGTTTCATTTCCATGAAATCAGAGATTCTTGATTTTTCATTTCTGTTTGCATATCAATTACTTTACTGCAGTTTCTGCTTCTTTGTCACACTTAAAAATTTCACATTGTTGAGGATTTTGACCTCTGTTGCTGGATCTTGTTAACTGGCCGCTCCAGGGCTTCGGTCAGAACACATGCTGATCATCAGGTGTTTAAATAGGTTTACTGAAGGATTATGTCTTACAGCGGTGCAAATAAATTGAAGCAGTTTATTATCGATGCCTGCACAGTAAAACGGAAAAGAGATCAGCTGACTAACGTCAAGAAGAAGAAAATAAATGGACAAACCTCCTTCAAAATAAAAGGAAGCACTTCAAAATAAAAGCATAGATATCAGACATTGCACTACTTGAAGAATTTATAACACACATCAACAAAATAACTTCAATATCAGATCAAGACAACTTGAGAAAAAACAAAAAAGTGCATTTGAAAAAGATTTAATTTGTTTATAAAAATATATAGGCCCCTATTTGACCCGGCGTTAAAATGTAATTGCCCCCAAAAATCTAAAACCTCCAGTCGTTGCTGGCACCAGTTGTATTGTGTAAATACTACTTGTGTGCTGAGTATGAACACAAAGTCTTTACCTCTGGACGGTTGGAGGAATCAATAGCAGCCGGTTAGAACCCACACATGCACGATGAGAATCTGAAATCTCCTAACAGGGCTAACAGCACCGACAAAATGCACCACAATATTTCCTCAAGTTTTTCCAAGTCTTGTGGTTCAGTTGCAGAGGTTGCTGTTTGCTTTGCATGACCTGTTTATTCTACCTCTACTCTACAGCAAACATGCAAAAATAAGAAACTCAGTTTAACTTCAGATTATTAAGGCCATATTAACATCGTAAATAAAATTATGAAAATAAAGTTGTACAAGAATGCGAAATAAAATGAGAAAATGGTTGAATGAATGAGAATAAAATGAGAACTCTGAGAATCAGGCTACGTTATGAGAAAAGTCCCAAAAGAAAACATATCACACAAATAAAATCACAACATTGCAAGAATAAAATCCTGAAACTATAAGAATACCACAAAAATGAACTCGTATGAGAATAAGGTCGAAATAATATTAGAATAATGTCATAACAACATGAGAATAAAATCTTATGGTCATCCAGTAACTTCGTAGATTTATTGTATCTGCTGATGGCTCAGCACCAGAAACTGCTCAGACCTGCTGACTTTGTTGTGCAGAATTCTGTTAAATAAGCAACGACAATGAAATCTATTTTTATTTGTTTTTTTTTTTTTTAAGTTTGTTTTAAAATGTCACAAGCAAACTTCCCCACAGCTCTGCCTGTTTCTGGGAAGCTACATCAAATTATGGCTTTCCCTTGAAAACAGAAACTCTACTTTCTTATCTTGAAGATGACATTTACATTCCTTTACATCACCTAGTGATTAACTATCGAATAAAAAAAAACCCTAAAGTTAAAACTTCCTATTACTTCATTGAATGGTAACCACACAGGTTGATTTTAGATCAGGTCAATGTAAGTTCTAGTGAGGAAGTTAAGAGAAGCATCACACATCAGAAAGAGAACAATCTCTTGACTCTGCCCAGGAGGCCGGCACAGCATGTTGCTGTTTAACTGCCTTGTTGAACAGCAACACGCAGTGCAAAGTGCTTTTGTTAGCCTCTGTAAAAAGGAATAATAAAAACAGACAGGACACAATGTTACTCCTTTCGCTTCCAGTGTTGTAATGTGTTTCCAAGAACAGTTTTAAACATTACATAGTCACGTACTGAGTGCTGAACATTGTACACAAACATTGTGGTTATCTCCATATAGTAATAAGACACGTAGCACCGGACGCAGCTTGCCTGACAGCTAATGTGAGTATAATTATTAACTCCTGTTATGTTCGTTTCTGGGGTAGAGCAATAATGTTCCTGGGTGAATTTGATCCAGGGAGTTTTTAATCATGCAATAGTGTTAGAAATCAAAGAATTCCTCCAAAACATTTTTATATTTGATTATTAACTCCAATACTACCAATTTCAACAAATATTTGTGTAATGATGTTTTTTTTATTATTTCTCAGAAATTAAGGAACAATGACAACAACCCACTCATTTACTCATTTGGACATAAAAAATGGAATTAAAATTTTTTATGTCCACTGAAAAAAATACCTAGACACACAAAAAAACAATAATTTCCTTGAAATTGATTTTTGGTCAATTTTTTTTAATATTACATTTTATTTAATTTTTTTCAATGCGTGATCTTTACAATTGAACTTGAGACACACATACTATTCAGGGTCAAATTGACCCGCTGATTAAAATCAAGATAAATGAGTCATGCAGAGAGTGTTTCCCTCCATTCTGCTGAGAGTCCACTCAGTGTGGGTGGAGTTTGTCCACAGGAACAGAAATAGAAAAGATTCCCGTCAAAAGTTGTATGAACACCTGCTTTCTTGCGGTTTTCTAGTGAAGTAAAGAGAAAAGTGAGAAATGGGCTCGTGTGTGTCCGGGTGTGCGTGTGTGTGTGTGGTGTTGTGTATGTGTGTGTGGTGAAATATGGTTCATAGCTGCAAGAAAACATACAGAACTGGACATTTTTTTCATTTTTTTTTTTTTTGAAGCCTGGTTAAATTGACCCGAACAGTGTAAAAAGTAAAAGCAGGGGCTGGTGGAAATGTGTCAAATGAATGCATTTTCAATTTCTATGTAGAGTGCACCTATTAAGACAAATAGAAAACGTTTCATGCAAAAAACAAAACAAACAAACAAAAAAAGCTTCTAACTATTTTAAAAAGATTTTTAAACTTTGAAAAGGGTCAATTTGACCCGGAACATAACAGGAGGGTCAATAAAACTCAAGTTATCGCAGACAACACAAACACTCCCTGCTCATTCGGCCAACATAATCAACACAAATACAGCTATAAACCTTATAAGTCATAATTTTACCTGTAATGAAAACAGACGACGTCACTCCTGTCGCTTCGATTGTTTTTATGGAAGAACAGAAGTAACGCGTTCCAGTGATTCAGACAAAACCAATCGAGACACGATCGGTAAACAAACAAAAATTTTAGATCTAATATTAACACAATTAAATGAACATTTATTTTTTTATAAACTAAATCTATTAATACACATATGAATTTATGTATATCAATCTCAGGTGATTTTATTTTATTTTCTATAAAGATTTAAGTGAAAGGTGGTTGAATTATTTTCAGCTATATTGCCAAAAAGCATATTGAAAATGTAACTAATTTCATTGTTTCAAATAGTCTCTATATTTGATGCACTACTTTAAAGGATAATTAGTCATTATTTTTGATAAAAAAATCCCTTTGCAGGAGTAGAAATTGTGTTTATGGTTACTATTGATCTTCATCAGCTTATTCCTTTATTAGGACATTTCATTCAAACTTGTGACAATATTGCTCATGTTTTAGCTTATCAGAATGGGTGAAAATGCCTTCACAGCAAATGTAGAGCTATGTAGACTTTATATTTTCTGATCTTTTTCTGCTGGCTCCCTGCTTGGTGTTTCCATGACATCTTACCAGCTGTCAATAAGTTAATCACAGTATTGTTTTCTGATTGAAGATGCCTTTGTTAGGAAAATTATCTAAGTTCATGTATTTGAAAGTTTATGTTTTTATATTAGTATTCTGTATGCTGTTTTCTTGACTCCTTTCTTTTGTGGTATACTCTTAACTGTTTTGCCAGATGTTTTCTTGGGGGTCAGAAATGTTTGCACATTCTTGCGTTATGAGCTTCTTTGTCATTGGTTGCTTTGATCATTAACTGTCTGTGTTATCAACTGCCTGTGAAGCGGGTTTACAATGTCTAGGTAAGTGCATGTCCACAGAAGATTCCAGAACATCTTGTGGGGATGTTTATTGATCAACTGTTTGTGTGACTGTGTGAAAAAGCCCAACCTCTTTGTTTGTAATGTCAATGTAAAAACCGCATTGCATTCACAACAGAATCTGAATTTCTTGGGCAAACACAGGTGAATGCATATGAACATACATATACATCTGAGGACAGTCCATTTAATTAACAAGTGCTTAAAAATCAACAAATGTACATGTAAACGCCAGATGAATGCAATGATTTTTACTGCCACCAGATGGCACTAAAGACTCAATCCAACTTGAAGAAAGGTCAAAACGAACCTCATGAATGGACGCGAGGTTTCAACTGGTTTTAGTTCGGTTTAAACACATTGCTCAGTATTACATGGCAACGACCTTTTGAGAGCTTATCTTTGTCCTAATTATATATTATTGTATCGTTTTTGTTTTAGAATAACTTCATTTCTAACTATAAACTGGATTGTTTTCAACTGGCTTATTGCTTCATTTTCAGACCTTATTTATGATATAAAACGGGACAAACAGGGGGTGTAATTATGTAATACTCAGAACATTTTGGGAAGTTAATTGAACTCAGTGAAACTCAGGAAAAATCAAAGAACAAAAAAATATTCAAAGTAATTGAAACTGATGGTGGACATTCATAGTGAGGCCATCTTGTCACTATTATGGAATTAGTCAATAATTCCTTAGTTAATAATTAATGTACTTGTTCCGTTGGCATATTATCCCACTTATAACAAGATATTTTGGCTACAAAGGTCACGTGTAATATACAGGTTTTATTAATAATAAACCATTTACATTTCTTAATTTCTCTTTCACTTCTAAAGAAGGAAAATCTGCCACACAGCTGTGAAAGACTGGCTAGCCAGGTGTGGGCAGGGTGTTGCAGTTCTTTTTTTTTTTTTTCCATGTGCAGCTAAGTCAGCTTGAAGGCAGGGCTTCAAAAAGGAAGTTGTTTATGGCGGGTGTCCTTTCAGTTTATTTTCATCTGCGATCAGAGCCTCAGAGGAGAAGGGCTGAGATCTCTTGTTTCTGGAAGACAAAATGAATGCAACCAGGTGTTCTCAACCTAATAAGAAATTATTCGAACACACAGTTCTGCCTACTCTTCACATCTTGGTGTTTATTGTTGGACTGACTGCTAATGGATGGGGATTGAACTCTTTGCGGCGCAACTGGAAGAAACTGGGAAATATCAACATCTTTGTCCTAAACCTTGGACTAGCAGACATTCTGTATCTGCTCACTCTCCCCTTCCTGATCCTGTACCACATGAAAGGAAATACATGGATCTTTGGAGAAGGATTCTGCTTGGTAACAAGATTTTGCTTCAACCTGAATCTGTACTGCAGCATCGGGTTCCTCACCTGTATAAGTGTGTACAGGTACCTGTCCATCGTCCATCCCATGAGAGCAATGGGGAGATTGACCGCGACTCACTCTGTGGTCATCTCAGTCGTTGTTTGGATTTTGGTGGGTGTTCAGAGTTTTCCAGACATGTTTTACCCAAAAACATTTGGGGGAAAAAAATGTTTTGACAGTACCTCAAATGAACATATGAAGAGTTACCTGAAATACTCCATCATATGGACGTCATTTGGATTTTGCATCCCATTCCTCATCACCATTTGGAGCTACGGACATGTGACTCTGGTTGTCTGCCGCTCAGAAACGATTGACAAGGACCTGAAACGACGCAGCTTGAAGCTGTTGGTAATTTTGATTCTTCTCTTCTTGCTTTGTTATGCACCCTACCATGTCTTCAAGAACCTCAGCATGTATTCCAGAGTCCTGATTAGTCAGGGAACATGCCCCGAATGGGATTCTGGAATCTTCAATGCTCGTCAGGCAAGTCGTGGTCTTGTGAGCCTGAATAGTGCTCTCAACCCACTGGTTTACCTCCACGTTTATGAAGACATGGGTGCTCAAGTCAGGCAGCAGCTGCAAGGAGGGCAACAGATGTTCAGTCGATTGTTTAAGTCAAATTCTTGCTCTGTGCCGGTAGCACAGAGTGAAACAAATGATGTGTAACATTTTTCTTTTTCATTCAATATAATAATTAATACTTTTGTACATTCTTGTAAAGTTTTTTATGCTTTCTTTTCTCTATTCTTATGTTGTCAGCTGCAAAAAATGTAAGTAATAATTTTAAAGTGAGGTCAGATCTGTTTCAATGTTGCACTATTTTAGTGAAACAACATAGTTTTAGAATAATAAAACCTTGTACAATGTATAAACTCCAATTCATTCAATTTTTACTCTTCTGACTTCTGCTTATATTAGTGTTAGAATCTGAATGAGAGGAAACATATTTTATAAAGTTAAGTGGTTCACTGATCAGCAAATATATTTGTTACACATACAGTTTTGCTTCGATATTTACAAACATTCCTCCCAAACAAGAACATCCTAATTATTTTATGTTTTATGCGGCTCATCTTCTATCAAAGTTCTTGATTATTCAACACAGAACTGCAATGCTTACAAAATTCATTTTATGGACACAAGCTAAAATTTTAGGTTTCCAATTCATTTATCACCTAACCTTTTTTATTAGTGTGGCAGCACTACAGAAAACGCTTTAGCAGCTTTTTCTGAGCCATGGTGAAGATTATATTTGTGGCTAGGCTTAGGATTGTTTAATATAATGACTGAAGTGATGATAAACCAAAACATACTCCATTTATTCATAAGATATTGACATGGATAAATGGAGTAATAGTAAAGCAACAGCACAATATTACTTGATACACTATTAGCTGGCATTTTGAAAGCAGCATTAATCAGTCATTGGTGCTGATTGGTTGTTGCCCCTGGGCAGGTTGCCAGTCCATCAATAAACCAACAAGGGAAAATAACTTAAGTCACTAAAACCCAGAAGTGGCGGGTCTAAAACTAAAACACAAATCACACAAACGGCACGGTTTCAGTTGCCAAACATGAAGCAGCATTTCTCCAGTAATGTTGCAGGAACCAGAACCTTTTTGCCAGTTAATTAGAAACAAAGTATTTTACTTACTATGGGAAACGAGGTGTGACTGACAATTTAAGGAAACAGGAACAACATTTATATTCATACCAGAAAGAAAAGAATAACAGTAATAATTTTACAGCTAATGACAGCTTTACTTTTTGAACAGTTTTCATCTCATTCAACATGTTATTTAGGAAATGACCTTGAAGATGACACATGAACCGCTGACGGCAGAGTTTTTGCTGTCACTGACTCAGTCAGCCTCTTCTTCCTCCAGAAAAAATAGTCATGCAGAGCAGAATAATAGTTGGTTGTTGTTTTTTTCTTCTAGGAACTATAAGTGTTTCTGAAACAGGAACACTTTTTTAAACAGTTCTTGGTGTGATGTTAAGACATAGTAGCTGTTTCCGTCTGATAAACCACAACACTTTTTTTCCTGTCACCAACTTCTGCTTAACTGATGTACCTTTCAAGAATAGTTGCATTATTATAAACCTGGAACAGTTTTCTGCACTAACCTCACACAGAGCTGCAATAGTTTTAGGTAGGACTCTTAGAAAGTATTCCTTCTGTTCACACATTGAGTAGAAACTGAAAAATTGCCTTTCCAACCAAAATAATCAACTCAAACAATATACATAAATATTTAAATGCTTTAATGAAAACATAAAATAATTATATGCATTGATGATATGCACATATTTCTTCGTTTAGCCATGTGCAGCACTACAGAAAACGTTTTAGTAGCTTTTTCCGAGCCATGGTGAAGATTCCCATGTGACCTTGTTTCATTTTAGACTTTGAGAATTCAAATCACACAATAATTAGATAGTACTCATTGTTGATCTGGACATTTACTGAATTTGGAAGATTTGCTGCATATTATTTTCCAAGCTTTTGCTCTCTCCTCAAAGAATCAAAGGATCCATAGAAATGTACTTTGCAAATCAACAAAATCTTTATGTGATTTATTTGATTTGATATTTGTCTTTGATTGTTTTGGCAGCACTAGTCAGTCACTACAAATGCTGTTTACATTTCCAGACATTTGGAAATAATTCATCACACAGTACAGTGAGTTTAAAACTTTTTTCCACCATATTATTGTTTGGAGGACAAACAATAATATGTGGTTCATGATAGTATTCTCAAGTAATTGTAAATGGTAATACCCTATAAATTTTTGCTCTTGCTTTCCTACAACAACAAAATGTATTATCACTCCCTCTATTCAACCTTAGACTTCCTGTTTCTTATCAAACATCTAATGCAGGTTCTACAGGAAAGCCAGATCAACAAAATGATAAGCAACACAATTGCTAAACAGAATGCCATCACATCTAGGCAGTGGTAGGCATACCAGGGCATCTTATAAGACTCGGAGCGCAAGTGTGGCGCACCCCGATGCCTCATGACATGTTCGATCCAGAATATAGCACTGTCAACGGGCTTCATTGGTTTGTCATGATGAAGCTGTGATAGTTTGACCATATTCTGCTTGTAGGGTTTTTCTGGGTCTAAAATGGACTTCAGAGCACTTTTCAGAGAATCAGCAGTCATTTTTGTCACGTCGACTATCTCAGCCACACCTCGTCTCTTCAGTCGGATGATGTTGTCGTACTGGTCAAAGATAAGTGGAATGCCTAGAACTGGTACGCCGTGGTAGATGGCCTCATAGATGCCATTGGTGCCCCCATGTGTGATGAAAACCTTAGTTTTAGGATGGCCAAGGATGTCGTTCTGAGGCAACCATTCAACCAGCATAGTGTTGTTCCCTAAAGCAGCTGGTTGTTTACCAATATGTCTCCACAAAACTTTCTGGGGGAGGCCGGCAAACGCTGACGCGAAGGTTTCTGACACCTCAGGACCAAGGTCGCTCAGCAGAGTGCCGAGAGTCATCACAATTACTCCATGTTCACCAGAGCTCTGCACAAATGCCTCTAATTCAGTTGACAAAGGCTTGGATGGTTTTCCTTGGAAGCCTCCAATATAGATGACGTTGGGCATGGTGGGGCGAGGGAAGTCAAAGGTAAAATCAACCCGCAATAGCCAGAGATCTGCACCCTGTATCAGAGACAAGGTATTCACATCACCTCCAAAATATTTATCGCATACAACCTGGAATGGTGGATTTGCGACATAGTAATGCATGTAGACCAACATGCCATGGAAGATAATATTATGGAGTCTTTGTAAAAAATGCATTTTGTCAGAGAAATGGGAGAACACAGCAGGAATGTAGGACAGAGGAGAAGGAGCGATAGCAAAGTGACCCTCTCCACCGGGAATCCAGCGTACATTCAACACCAAAGGAAGCTTGAGATAGTGCGCCAGCAGCACTCCTCCTGGGAACGCCGGGTCCGTCAGAAAAAGATCATATCCAGTTTCATTTAGCTGCCTTAGCAAAGTCCTATTCTCAAAGGTTCTGATGACCATCTTTGCTACGCCCTTCTGGTTTTCTCCAAACAAATCAAACAGATTCCTGTAAAACTGAAAGAAAGCCCACAATGTCCCTTCATTTCGACGGATTTCCATAGACCTCTCCAGGAAGGATGTCATGACTTCTTGACTCTCGATGTTTTCGGGCTGATCCTGGGCAATCGTGATGGACGTGTAAAGGGATGAAAATTCAGAAATGTACCAGCTGGTTGAGGAGCGGAACACCGTTATTTCATGTCCCCGAGAATGTAACGCCTCCAAAAGTATTTTCATGTTCAGCCAGTGACTCCCATCCACTGGGAAAACCAACACTTTTCCACCATCACCAGGAGACAGCAGTGATGCAGACAACAGTAGGATCACCAGAACTGGACTCATTTCTGTAAAACAGACTCATAATGTCAGATTCAGACTAACTTAATTTACAACATACAATAAAATAGATAAATCTAAACTCAAGCAATTGATGAAAGAGCATATGACTAAACAAAATTTGGATTGTGTTTTTTTTGACTGGACCTCAGAGAAGTATATTAATAGTTTTCAGTATTCATGCCACTTTTCAGTACTCATGCCACATTAGAACTTGTATAGCATCTATTGCCACTACTGGAGTCATTAAATCAAGCATATCTCTCTAGATAATTACAAAATAGTTTTATACTTGATCTTTTGCATTTGAAGTATATTTTAATTCAAACCCCTTAAAGTTTATTCATTATTTATTCAAAAATCAATCCCACATTTCCTAGGAAACATCTTGACAAAATTTAAGACAAATTGAGAATAAATTAGAACTGGTTGTGAATGTTTACGTCCAATTATGTGGCATAAAATCGACAGCATTCAAGCAAAACTGATTAAAAGTTAAAAATTAGTGGTAGTGGTTTAATAGTTTCCAGCTACTTTGTTACGTTGAGGCAAAACAATTTTATCTCACACATTTTCAGCAACAAGGCAATTCAAAGTCATTTTCATGATTAGAAGGAAAACAAAACAGAAAATCAGCAAAAACGTCACATTACAGGAGCAAAGGGAAAGCAATGACAAGTTGGAAAAGATACTGCAGTTTTTCTATTTTCTGGAAGTTTAATGAAGTATAGTGGAGCATAAAGACCTTGAATGCTTCTTCTCCATGTTTTAATGTTCCAAGCCACTGAGATATTCTGGTTAATATCTACTCTACTTCTCAAGAGTCAGAAGTAAACAACAGCAGATCTTTAACAATTTTAAACTAGTAAAAGTATCTCTTGTTACTTTATATAAAATCTCTACCTGCTAGATAATATTTTTGTTATTGTAGCACATTTTCACAATCCAGAGGACTCCTCCAATTGAATCAATGTCTCTCACTACTGAATATGAATGATTATAATCACCAGTTACTGCTTGTTGTGTACTTTGAAGCATTTCCTGTTTTGATCAGGTCTTTGTTACATCTATTCTCTCTTTAGTTGTAACTTTTTACCTGAGCCACGTCCTCTAACCAACGACATAATGTGTGGTCTTGTCTATATTTCATTGCACTTTGGTTTCTGTGTGAGTGTTTGTGCACGTTTGCCACAAGATCATGTGCAAGCAACTGTATGTGCAGCACAAAATGTTCTGAAGGCAGACAAGCCAGACAGAAACCAGAAAAAAACGATTCACTGACCCAAATACCGATGCAGATGAAAACAAATCGTGCATCCTCAAGTTGGAAAGTTTGATTGGTTTCAAGAAAAAAAAATTCACTAACCCAAATACAAATGCAGATAAAAACAAATTGTGAATCCTCAAGTTGGAAAGTTTGACTGCTTTCAAGTTTGATAATGCAGA